GCCCTGGTCGCACGAACCTCCACACTCCTGCACCTCACGGTGACCGGCACCGCGTGTGTGCGTGCGGGCGGCAGCAAACGGGAGGGGGAAAAGGCTGCGTCGCCCAAGGGAAACTGCATGGATTGGCGAGGCACGAAGTGAAAAGAGAAAAGGGAACACTCCTCAGAGCACAGGGGGGAGAGAGACGTTGGCCCAGAGAAACGACGAGCAAACTGGGCGCACAAAGCGTACGCGTCGTCCCTGCCAGGGTGTGTGTGTGTGTGTGTGTGTGTGCAGTTGCAGGGGTCTGGGTGGCCGCACGCTCTTCACCGCGGGCAGACATCCCGCAAAGAGTCATTGGGCTCGCAGGGGCCGCAAGCGGCAGCGCGAGGGGCAAAGGAGCCTTCCTGCATTTACACAAGCGGCAAAGCTCACACCCTCGCCAGCAAAACGGGGTGCGGTCGTAAACTCCACACAAACCGTCTGACCCCCTGCGCCCCCGCAAGTAGAAAAAAACACACACACATAGCACGCGCAGCGGCGCACTGCCTTCGCCACCTGCCGCGCCGAGGCCCCTGCAGCACAAGACGTTGCCGCGCGAGTGGGCTGCACGGAGAGAGCGGCTGGGGGGGGAAGGGGGTTGCGGCTGGGCGGGGAAAAAGCATCCGTGACAGGATTCGAACCTGCAACCCTCTGATCCGTAGTCAGATGCTCTTCCATTGAGCCACACGGACACGGCGACCGCCGCCGCCGCGCAACGCAGCACGCAGCGAACGAAAAAAAGCAAAGAAAAAAAAGGCGGCGGCAACGGCGCGGGAGCAAAAGAAGAGCGGCCCAAGCGGCCCAAGCGGCGGCCCGCAAGGAAAATAAGCGAAGAAAAACATCAGCAACAGAAAAGCGCCCTGCGTGGCGTGTGGCTCCCCCACAAGTCCTCAAGAGGAGGAAGAAGAGTTATCGTCCTCCGTGGTGTTTTCCCCCCAAAAAAAGTGAAGCGGCGGCGGGTCGTCGCGTGGCGTCCCGCAACGGCGTGCGCATTTTGCCTGCGGGGGGCGAAAAGGAAAAAAAGTCCTGCCTGCCTCGCGTCGTTGTGGCCCGCCGCGTGCCCACGCGGCCAGTTGCGTTTCGCAGGGGCCTTCCGCGCGGCGTGGCGTCCCTCTTCGGCTCGCGCCGGGCGGAGAGGCGAACACAATCGTGCGGGGAGCCCCCGCCCCTCCGCAGGCAGCGTGCGGGCACAGCGAAAAAAGGAGAAGAAGATTTTACGCAAAAAAAAAAGAGAAAAAACGGGCCCGCCGAAGACGACAGGCGGCAAGTGGAAGAAGAAAAAAAAAAAAAAAATTCCGCGTGCCTCCCGGCGCGGGCCGCGCCGCCTCCTCCCTCGCCGCCCACCCCCACGGCCCCCGGAAGAGGCGGCGACGCACCCCAGACAGACCCCCGCGCACGGAACCGCCCTTCGCCTTGGCCGTTGCGCGCTGGGCGCCCGCTGCCCCTGGCGGCCCGCCCTTCTCCGTCGCGCCGGCCGCCTCCTTCCCCCCAGCGCCGCAAGCTCGCCGGCGCCGAAGCGGCGGTTGCGCAGCACGACGTTCTCCGGCGCCACGTGGTGCGCCGCGTTTTCGTGGACGCCTTCGCCGCCCCCAAAGCAGACGCGCGAGACCCCCTCAGGCGGCGGCAACTCCGGCGCAGGCCCAAAAACCCTCAGCCGCGGGCTCGGGCGAAGCAGCCGGCGGGGACGGGCGTCTCTCCCCCAACCGCCCCGCGCGCCGCCCGTCGACGTACGCCGCGCCGCACCGCGAACACCGCTCGGTATGCGATCCCCTCCCCCCACGCGACTGCGTGTGCATCCGCCCCTTCTGCCCCGAACTCCGTCCTCCGGCGCTTTTGCCCGTGGCGCCGCAGCCCCGGGCCTCTCCCGGGCCCCGCCGTGCCCACGCCCAGCGGCGAGGTGGGACGCCTTGTTGACGGCCACCGTCGCCACAAGCGTCACCTCCTCGCCCAAAGAGCCGTGCCCGGGATTCTGCCCCTCTCCGCCCGCCATCTCCGCGCCAGCCCCCGCCGGCTCAAAGCCGCCCACGGCCTTCCGCGTTGCTCCTCCAGACACCGTGGCGCCCACCCCAAGGCACCCGTCATCCCAGTGGGAAGTGCCGCCGCCGTTCGACAAAAACGCAACCATCCCCCCCGTTGGCAGACGGCCGGCGCAGGCAACAGCTTCCGCGGCGCGCTTCGCAGCGGCGGTGGTGGCGGCGGAGCCGCAAAGCGCTGGGACCCTGGCCTCCACGCCTTCCCATTTATTCAGCACGGACTTGATCCGCCGCAGGTGCTCCGGGAGGCGCGCGAAGACAAGGCTGCCCGGCAGCCCACTCTCACCCCCTTCGCGTAGAGGGCAAACAACTCATCTTTTGTGTGCAGCGGAGTGCTGAAGGGGAGGTGGCCCGCATCCTCCGTAGAGGTCGGCCCAACGTCGTGGGTCCGGGGCGCCGTCGGAGAGCCACAGGCGGGGCGCTCTGCGTTCGCCGCCGTCTCCGCTGCGTCCTCCTCGCGCGACGTGCAGCGAGGAGACCGTGGCGCACGGCAGCACGCTCCTGCCCGCAATGTTTGCGGTGACGAGGTCGGAGGGGGCGTCGAGCACAGGCAGCGCGTATGCGTCGCCCAACAGGCGCGGGAATGGCGCGGCGGCCTCCTTCCAAGTCTTCCCCTCGTCCCCGGATTCGTACACCCCGCGCCGCCACGGGAAAAACCTGCTGCGACCATCAAAAGCTCCCCCGCCCACTCAAGAAGCGTGGCACCGGCACAGCCCTGGGCAACCACAGGCGTCGCAGGAAACTGCCAGCTGCTCCCACCGTCGTCGGAGCGCACGACGGTGCAGGCGCCCTCTCCCTCATCGGTGGGGCCGCCAATTGCCACAAGAGGGAAGACAGTCGTCGTCGCCCCAACTGCAGCGCCTTTGCCCCAAGGGCAGCAAACAACACCTCCCACGAGTGCCTAGTCATCTTCCCGGCAAGCGTGGACTTCAGCGACCTGGGCGCCTCCCATGGGGCCTGCTTCCCTCCTCCCTCTGCCGCGGGCCCCGCAGCGCGACCAGCGAAGGGCTCAAGGCCCGACTGAACGCCACCCCGTGCGGCATCCGTGGCTGGCACAACAATACACATTTTGTCTCCCTTCACCACGGCCTTGGAGCCGAACGGTGGGGCGTACGTGTGCTCCTCCGCCAACCGTTCGTCCACAGTCTGCAGCGTCCACGTTGCTTCCGCCCATGTCGTGTCTTGTGCCAACTTACCGTCGCCTCCGTACGCCTTGTATTTTGCCCAAATGCCGGCACCCACGCCGTGGTCGCCCTCCTTTTCGTGGTCGCCCACGACAAGAGCAGGCATCACACCATTCACGTCAGCAAGCGAATGGCCGTAGAACGCGAGCGCACTTGGGAAGCGAGCGCGACTTCCTCTCCCTGCTCTCCGGCACTGGGTCCTGGCCCTTCCCGCACCTTGCAGAGTTCATCCTTTTTGGGCGCACTCCCCGCAGTGGCGTGCGCACGCCCACAACTGCCGCACACCAACGGCACGCAGGGGAGCAGCGGCAGCGCCGCGGAGGAAAACAGGTGCCGGGGCATGTTGGGCCGCTCTCTCTCTCTCTTCCTTCTCTCCTTGCGGCGGGGCCGCTCAGGCAGCGACGGCTGTGCGTGCGTGTGTGCGGTGTGTTGCTGGCAAAAGGGAGAGGTGGAGAGGAGAGGAAGAAACACAGGCGGCAACGTGGCAGGCACGTCAGCTGGGAGCAGCCCATATGACCGCGGAGGCAGCAGCGCATCTACTCCCACTGCGCATGCACACACACACACACAGAGAGAGAGAGAGAGAGAAATGCGTGTGTGTTCGGAAACGGGGCGCAGGCGCACCGGAGGCCCGGCCGTCGTCGCGCCCCCAAACGCGGGGGATTAAACCGCCGGAAGGCACGCCGCGGCCACGCACCCCTCCCCTCCCGCTATTTTGCGCAGTGCCTCACGAAGTGCTGGAAGGCGGCTTCGAAGGAGTCGAACACCTCCGTCCCGTCGCAGAGCATCAGGTTGAAGGGAAGGCCAAAGTCCTCCACAGTCCTCCCGGCCGCGTCACACGCACCGCCGTACTTCTCCCTCATTGAGCGCCGGTCGGAGGTGAAGGCCAGCACCGTCTTTCCCAGGGCAGCGGCGTAGCCCA